CCCCCCCCCCCCCCCCCCCAAGATTAAAATGTGGACCGGGATGTTAAGCTTGAGTGAGATCCTGCAGGAGAGGGACAGATGGGTGAGGGAATGAACAAACGTTTGTTCATTTCTTTCGTCCATCTGTCCCTCAGACAGTTGATCAGGGTTTGACATAAGTGGGAGTAATGATGCATCCCACCACCATACTGGCATTTTCAAATTACATTCATAATGTCCCAATTAATAGTTAAAGAGCTTATCGATGGTGCTGAGAGAAAATGACAGATAGTTGTCGTATTACTATTGTCAGTACTAGAACGTCACTAAGCACATTTACTCAAGTACTGTACTTATTCAAAATTTTGAGATACTTGTACTTTAATGTATACTTGTACTCCACTACATTCAGGAGGGACATATTGCCCTTTTTACTTCACAACATTTATTTAACAGCTGTTAGTTTTTGGCTTAACATTTTACTACCCATCTCAACCAACTACAATATTGAAGTACACCTTAATACATCAGTGTTATAATGATCCAATAATACAATCATTTCACACTGACGGAGGCCATTGTGAACATTCTGTGTGCTGTACTTTTGATATTTAAAGCACATTTTCTTTCCTCTTTACATTCTCTTTAATGTACAACTTTTATTTTGAACAGAGTAGTTTTATAGAATGCTGTTGTTTTGACTCAGAGGACCAGTGTGTATTCTTTCTCTTCTATTCTTTAGTGTAATTGAATCTGAAAATAGAAATCTGTTGTGTTGCTGTTTGCTTAGAATAAGCCTTTTTTTATCTTTATATGGACTGGGTCCTCTTCACGGAGCACGCCAACATGTTTCTACAGTAGCCTAGAATGGACAAACCACTCATTGGCTCTCTATGGGGCCATTTGAGTTTTCACGTTTTCATGAGTTTTCATTTTTTAACTAATTATCTACCTAAATTTGAGGGATTCATAGGGATACAGCCTCGCTGTTTACTCTTCCCTCTCTTAACACTGTGTCAGAATTGTACTAAGTTACATCCTACTGCTGCTGATTCACATTGTAAGTGTTCAACTGGCGAAACACGGTGTGGCTGTTACTGTGAAGCAGCCGCAAGAAACGGTCAAACATTTAAGAAAACATTTATTTGCTTCTTTCAGAGATTGAGATTTGAATATGTAGATATCAACCTCATATGCCTGCACATTAAGTACAGAGCTGAAGTCTGTTAGCCTAGCTTAGCATAAAGACTGAAAGGTGGGGGAAACAGCTAGCCAGGTTCTGACCAAAGCTAAACAAAAATACACCAACCAAGAACTCTAAAGCTCACTTATTAACATGTTATATATTATGTGTTTATTTATCAATAACCCGAAACATAAACGACATTTTCAGGTTTTACTTGGTGAAACTATTTTTTGACAGGTAACAGTGCAAAATTAGAAACTCCACTATGACTAGACGAGTCCTTCAATTCTTATTTTTTAAGTTCCTGTAAATTTCCTGCTAACATTTTGCACTAGTTATGGAAAATGGAAACAGAAACCATGCTAGTTTAATTGGTACAATAGCAATTAATTTATTCCAAACAATTGCTAAACAACATTTTAGTCAGTGCACAGCACAGAATATAGTTTCTTATTATAAATGAACGATAAGATAATATTTAGTCCAAAACTGGAGCAAACCTTTGAGGCAATTCTCAACAACTTAACAAAAGCACTAGAAACGTTGTCTCTATATTTAAAAAAATCAGTCGCATTCCACATTAGATCCTCTCTTAACTCCAGCGGCTTACTGCTGGACACACAGCGACCCATTCTGTCATCTCACATTCTGAAAAACAGCAAATAATGGTATTCTACAAAGTTTCTAAAATGATTTGCTCTAACATCACAATGACATATTGGCTCATGTAGTAACTTGTGAAGTTTAAGGTAAAAGTGTCTGAGAGTTGAGACTTTTGAAACGCCTGCATGTCTCAAGGTAGACAACTCCCAGGGTGTTTTAAAGAGCCTTTGGTTTAATCTGTCTTCAAAGTGTTGTGGTGTGTTTTGTTCAGGACGTTCCACAGGGGAATGCAGCGGAGAGTGGCCCAATCGTTCCGTGAATCCGGACGTCGATATAAAATCAGTTATTCAGAGAAACCTTCCCAAATGTCAGCGCGCAGGCCGCCGAATCATTTCTCGCACAGCAAATAAATGGCTTGTTTACTCCTGGCGACAAATGGCTTGTTTACTGATGGCGATAAGTGGCTTGTTTACTTGCGGGGGCTTTGCTCTGGTCAACCGCCTGCCCCTCCACCAAAGACTTCACCGTCTTCCTCCGCGCAACTAGCCTGTGTGTGTGTTGTTTATCCACCTGGGAACACCTGCCGGTGCCATGAACCCGCCGAGCTCAGTTGTCAATTGTTTGTGTCGTGACGCAGTCGACTTGCCACCGAGTGTTTGTCACCCGAGAGAGAAGAAGAGGAGGAGGGACTAGAGTTATCGGGTCTGAATCATCAGGCTTGTCAATCACAGCTGGAGGGCCATTATGAGCTCCGAATTACAGTTGATTCGGGCCCCATCGAGCTGCAACTATTATGAGCATGAATAATACATGCAGGCTAGTTGATTGAAATTACTTTTCAGAATTATGGTGACTCTGCGTGTCTCTCTACACTCCTGATTTTGTCTTGCTCTCACAGTTGCTGGTAGTTCTCTTCACCTCTAAATATCCTTTTGCGCTATTACTCCTTTGCTGTCTCATCTGCTCACTGCTGCTCCTGTCTCATCTCATTTGTAATTTCTCACATTCATTCTCTCCCCTTGACCCCTATATCACCTTCCCCGCATTCACTCCCCTCACCCATCCTTTCCCTTTTCATCCGCAATCCTATTTCCTAGAATTACTCCCAATTTGCTTATTCGCCATTTTCTCTGTTATGTTTGCTCAACTATCCTCCATCTCTAAATCTATATTTTTTCTTTTTACACCAACTAGAGCCTTGCCGCTACCATGCCTGCCATAGTCAACCTCCTTTTCAACGTTGTCTCCACCAACACCACCATCTCCTTCACCGTGGTGCTGCCCATGGTCAGCCTGGTCTCTCTTCTGGTGGGGGTTGGGGGTCACCTCCTGCTGTGGCTGGTGCTGATGAGGAACCCCCGCAGTCGCTCCAAGCCGAGCTCCGTCCTGCTCCTCAACCTCAGCCTGGCGGACCTGGGCGCCCTGCTCACCCTGCCATTTGTCCTTCTGAGTGCTTATTTACAGGACTGGCAGCTGGGCGGTGGGACCTGCATCCTCCTGGGGTTCATGACCTCAGTGACGGTGGGAGGGGAAATCTTCAGCCTGGCGGCGTTGTCGGTGCTGAGGTATCGCATCGTTGCGCCGGGGACGAGAACGCCTGCCAGCCTGACGCAAGTGTGAGTATGTGTGTATTAAAAAATATCATTAATTTAACTTATTGTCAACACATTCAGTGAAACCCATAAAAGCAACAATGAATTGATCCTGTTTTAAAAAATATATATTTAAAGAAAATATTTGAGCTTTTCAAATTCAACACTTAATGGCTTTAACGATTCTACAGACAGAAATGAGATTGTAACACAATAAACACGACGTCACTTCAGTGATCCTCTTCTAGTCAGTTGTCGGCATGCATAAGAATAATGCCGGAGTCAATTTCTTAACTACAACCCAGAGGCAGTAAAGAGGAGGCTTAAATCAAATATGCCAACAAACAGCAGAACCATGAGCATATATCACAGGTCAGTGCAGACATTAAAGATCAACGCTATAATAAATTGTTGGCTCCCATTAAATCATAATGTCACTATCCTTCCTGTCAGACCCAGGTCTATGTTTTCTTGCAGAGTTGACCTATATGTACTAGCACAGACGTGATCCTCCTGCACAACAAATAAGCCTATGCTCTGCTCCTCCTCTTCCACAGGTTATGCACGGTTGTAGCCATTTGGCTGTTCTCAGTAACCATGGCATTGCCCAAAGTCACCTACATCAACTTTGATGGGGGCTGCACGTGGGCAGTGGGCCGCGACGAGTGGCTGTCCTTCCTGGTTCCCGCTTTCCTGGTTTATTACGTGGCCCCTCTCCTCTGTATCGCCGTCAACTGTGGCCTCATCATCTCTCACCTCCACGGCTGCAGGAGCACTCTGGCCGCCGACCGGCGCAACAAGAAGGCTACCGCTCTGCTTATCGCTTCAACGCTGGTGTTTGCGATTAGCTGGCTGCCGTACTATGCACTTGAGTTTGTCAACGTTATGTCCCCTTTCGTTAGCTCGGTTGCCTCTCCCGTCAGTACGCTGGGGCGTGAGCTATCTTCAACATCGTCATATCTCTCTTCCACTTCTCCCGCGCCGTGTGAGGCAACCGAGACAAGGGTGTCCCTGATGTGGGAGGTGGCGTCCCTGGCGGCCATTTTTCTGGTGTGCCTGGCTCCGTGCTGGAACCCGCCGCTCTACTTCCTGTTGTCGCGTCCGGCCGTGCGTCAGCTCCGGGCTCTGCTACCTTCCTTCGTTGATAAGCACTTAGGAAAAAACCCTATGCAGCGCTGGCGTATTGCTCCTGCTCCTCCCATAAGCCTGTCACACCCTCAGCCTCCCGCACACTCACTTACTCACCAACCTGCGACACACAGGCTGACTCAGTAAAAGTACGCACACGGCTCACTCACATATTCCCGTGACATACTATTCATATTTCCCGTCACGAAAAACCTTAGACTGTATATAAGAAGTGGACGTAGTCATCGTGATGTCACCCATTGCTTTGTGGACTGCCATTTTGAAGCCATGAGTTCAGCATTTTGGCCGGCGCCATCTTGGATTTTGGCTGTCGCCTTCCTGTTTTTTTGTAACTACTGAACGGAAGTGACCATATTTGGACTGCGGAGTAGCGACGTAAAGACGCCTTATACGTCTGTGGTAGCGAAGGCGACCTGTTAATCACAAGGTAGCCCTGCCCTAAAGAAAACCCTGCTTATTTGACTCTAAATGGACCATCATTTGCTAAATGAACATCATGTTGTATTAAAGGAGAATTAAAACTAGTGATTGAGCCCATAAACTCATGTGTACAATGTCTACTGAGGGAATAAATCAAGTGAGAAGTAGAGTAATTTTCCCATAGACTTCTACACAATCTGACTTCTTTTTGCAACCGGAGGAGTCGCCCCCTGATGGCCAGTACAGAGAATGCAAGTTTAAGGCACTTCCGCATTGGCTTCACTTTACAGAACCGGAGGTTGCCGCCTGCAAGAAGCACTGTACGTCCCAACGCATGAGTCACAACATGCTTTGTATACAGATGCTATTGTGTTTGTTTGGATGCTTGTGCAGTCATAGCCACATGCTCTTTCCTTGTGCAAGATTACCGTAAATGTAAAAAAGGCTCTGGCCAACAGTGTGTGAGCCTCTCAGATAGACGGCAGAGTATCATGAACAGAATGCATTAATGTGCCATAAAAACACAAGGTTTATATTCGAACATTGCAATGCCAGAGTCACTCAGCAGCTCACCGTCCAGGCGGTATGAGGCTCGCAGAGGAGGAGAGCCTCCAATTCAAAACGACTGAAGAAAGAATTTTAAAGGAAATTTACAAACAAGTTCCTGTTAGTATGAAAGCACACACATCAACCATTTTCCAAATCTAGGTCACTGAACTTAAACGGACGTCCCAACGTGGGGCCTGAACCTGCAATCTTAACAGCCTTTTTCAGAGACTGAAGGACGTCTGCTGAGCCCACATTGGCTGACAAACCATCCAAGCAAACAGAAATCAAATCCCCCATGGAGCTTTTAAACAACTATCCCCAAAGTGCAATAAAAACAGCATCTGATAAGTATGACATATATAGCACGGCCACAATATGAAAAGAGCAGTGGCTGTTCCCTCCGCAGGACGTCGTTACATTGCATCTAGTTAGATTGCGACAAGTGATGCGACCATGTAAACCTATTACTAAGCTGTCGGGCAGAACAAAACACTGAGGACAGGCAGAGGGCCATGCCCGCCTCCCTGTAAAGCTCTTGGTTGCAACATTATTGAAATTCAATGTAATCTGAATAACCTTGTGAAAAGGGGCCTCTTTGACTTATTGGAAGCACGAATAGAAGCGTTCTTGTTTTGCTCTGAGCTTGAACGCGGAGAAATGCCTTTTAAAACTGGGATTTGACACAAAGGATCACATCAGAACATCAGCAAAGTACTTCTTACCAAGCGGAGTCCATCTGCTTGGTTTAATATTACAATGCAAAGGGCATGACCTGCTCTTGCTTTGTTTGACAAATCGGCTGAGGACAAGTAATTCGATTTTTTTTTTTAGTTTTTAAAGCTTATTCATATTGAGGGATGTGAAGCAATGATTTTAATTCATTGTCAATGTGGACTCACTCGAGCTAAAGAACTAAAATGGAAATTGCTTGATTTTTTTTAAATTCTGAAACATGCGGAAATGCGCTTATTTGCTTTCTTGCTGAGAGAGAGATAAGAAGATCGACATCACTCTCAAGTCTGTCTGCTAAATATGAAGCTACGGCCAGTAGACTGTTAGCTTAGCTTAGCATAAAAACTGGAACCAGGGGGAAACAGCTAGCCTGACTCTGTTAGTTCACCAATTAACTTGTTATATATTGTTTGTTTAATCCTTAAAAAGAAAAATTAGAAATGTTAGAATAACAGATTGCAGTCTTATGTGCCAGACTTTCTCTTGGCAGTGACTTCCTGGAGTCTCCGTTGTTAAGTGTATCAATATAGTGGAACACCTGTTTAAGTAATAGTCGTCAAAGACCACATGCACCACAGCAAAGAGTAGTCATCCTTCATTCTTTCATTTCATTGGATGACAAAAAGTAATTCACTTCAAGAGAATGGCAGGCACGTGACCGTGATAAAACGTCATCGCTGACCTTGGGGCGGTCATCTTGTTGACTGCTATAAATTGCACCTCTGTTGCCTCTTGACCTCTTGACCTCATCTCCCTGCACATCCTGATGACGGACCGCAGGGTTTCCTTTGGGAAGGAGCAGGCAAGCTTTTTGCGTCGATACCATCTCAGTGGCTAATGAGAGCACTTATCTCCGTTATCTGTCTGCGCTGTGATCCTCTCGCCCAGTGCACGGCACTAGCACGCTCTGATGTCCTGATGAAACATAATTAAGTCTGCAGATTAGTGAAAGCATAAAACACAAGTCACGCTCAGCATGGCCCATAGAGAGGATCCTTGCCATTTCCATTACAGTGTGTTCACTGAGCCTCTCACTTGTCTGCAGGCCTGTTGTAGTTTTTGAAAAACACAGCGAGATCAGCCAGCCTGCAAAGTGAGACAAGAAACTAATATGCAAGGCATTCTGGAGATGCTTATTGTACTGAGTGGACTTCTCTTCACACAGATGGCCATTTTAGAGAGGTATTGATTCTTTGACTGTGACACCAAGAGCGAATCCTCACCCCGTAATGGCCTGAAGAGGATGTCGGGTCATTCACTGTCATTGAACACTGTTTAAATCCCACAGGGAGGATCTGTTTAATACAAAGAGCTTTAGTTGAGGAGTGATTCACAAATGAGCCTTCGACTATCCTTGTGACGTTCATGTGCCAAATTGGAAACAAATATATATATATATATATTCAAAAACTGAATTATCAACTGAACATCAGCGTCCTGCTAAATGCTCCACTATGTTTGCTGCCTAATCGCAAACTTTCTCTGTCTGCTTTTGGTGCTGGGGAGCTCGCCATTCCATCTACTGTAAATATCTAAATATTGCGTAGTTTAGCTTCAAACCCTCTCAATTTTAAGAGTTGAACATTTATGAAGTTTTTTTTCAGAGTTATTAATTATATTTAGCTGTTTTGAAATTGCTAACATAGAATTAGATCTTTTTTTAAACTTGTCTGGAATGTTTAACATGCTCACTGGCTGATTTCTGCTTAAGGCTGTTTGGTCTCCTTGTGTAACACTGTGCCGGTGTCTCTTCGCATAATGAAATTAAATAACTTTGTCACTCATGTGACCATAGTTGGTACTTTTTGTCTCAGGATAATGAGTTCCTAAATGAAACTATGAAACAAGACATTCAGCAGTTATCTATGGTCAGCAAAGTTATACTGAATTTATTGATTTATTGATTCAGGATACTGGATATAAAATGCAAACGCTCTCTTGGAGAGTTTGTGTGAAGGAAGGGCTAACCGTAGAAAAGTCTAAGAGTTTGCAGAAGGCAACAGAAAGCACAATAAAGTGGGATGTTTAATGGTAGTGCAGGCATAGCCTTGGCTTGGAGACTAACAACATTAAAAACGCTCCACCATCGACAACAAGGACATCACTAAAAACAACATGCGTCATTGATCAGGAAGCGGTTGTTTTTGTGCTTCTGACAACCTTTTTCATATGTGCAAATCAGTCTACCATATAGAGTGGACCACAACTCTTAAAAACAGAGAACAACAGGTTATTTTTTCACCCCCAATGTCAGAGTCCAGTCACTGCGAGCAGTAGCCTACATTGGTGTGTGGACCAGAGGAGGTTCAAACTCTGGGACAAAATGTCACTTGATGTGTTGTGGGAAGCGGATTTTCTTTCTCACATATTTGACAGATATGATTTGGGGTTACGGTGTTGTCGGTTCTCAAGGGGTTTTGTGAATAAATTGAACCAACATATTTTCTACTGAGTGCCAGTTAGCTTACACACACACAGTCGCAGACGAGTGTCATCTTGGCAGCACTTTGTGATGGACTCGATAGCTAAAGGGTACAAAACACCAGTTCACTCAGAAACACACTTCCCTGCAACTGAGCATTGTGACAGCTTAAAGTGTACTAATACTCAGGAAAAAGAGAACTGGGGACACTGCTCATAAAACAAAGAATGTACGCCAACAGACAAACAGCACTGACCTACTAATCGAATCAGGGACGTTGCAGTTTTGTGCTATGTGCTTTAACCATTCTGCTATCAGGACGCCTACATTCATGATCATTTCTAACTAGTTTCACAAAGCTTTATCTTCTGACAGATGAGCATTTGAGCATTTCTATAAACCTATGGCACTAAAGTAGTTGACAACCATGCTTTCATTTGAAATTCAATAATTTACTCAAATTAAAGGGGCAGTGCACTATGAGCGTTGCAATTTTCTTCATTTGAGGGACTCAGGAGAGACCGATCAAAATAAAAAAGACTGCTCAAACTGGGCAGAGATATCCTGGGTCAAGCTCCCGCACAAGCAAATGGATCCTACAGCTCCCATAATGCAACACATTTTTCTTTTCACTTAAACCCAATCTGATATACAGTGAACTGATGACATCATCAGGTTTATTTTTTTTCACAGACCCCAGCTCCCACAGTACACAACAGTTTTCACAAATGGATTAGTAGTCCTCGTGACAAGAAAAAAACTGCTCTTCATGAGTAAACTGTGTGAGCTGACCCTGTAAATCCTCAATCAAAGCTTATTCTGGTCATTTGAGGTAGAGGGATCACAATATCAAATCTAATTCCTCTGTTCAAACATGGCACATTCTCCAAGAGACATCCCTCTGCCTCCCTCTGGTGGCAGCGTCACCCGAGAGCGACCAATAAAAAACTGAACCTCTGTCGTCCAACTTGAAAGAAACACACCGGGAAAAGCCCTGACCGGTGAGACCGAGGCACATATTGTGAAGGAGACGGCGCACCTGAGCTGGATGAACTGAAACCAGGGGCACTGCACTACCCTCATCATCCCTTCATCCACCTCCGACGCAACCCAAAGTAAGATCACTCTCACAGAAGGACGCGCCCCCCCCCCCTCTCATTACACCCTTTGAGAGAGAGAGAGAGAGAGAGAGAGAGAGAGATATATGCAGGTACTAACTGAAGGTGGGGAGGGGAGCGCAGTCGCTGCTGGTCGTTGGGACGCCAAAAGGACAAGAGGGGGTGTGCTGTTGTGCTGATGGCTTTCTTTCTAACTCGCTTCTTATTCCGAACGGAGACGCAGGTGTAGCCTCTTGATCCGCTCCCCCAGCCCGCTGCCACCTACCCCAGACGTCCATGAGCCAATACACCTCTACCTTCCAGTCACCAGAGGAGGATTTTTACGCGCCGCGGGGTATGAAGAACATCATCATGTCAAATGAGATGTGGCGCTTCTCTTTCGTGCGCCGCCTGTAACCGCCGCTGTGAACGCGATGCTGGGTCCGCACCCAGCGCAGATGACCTGAACCGGGCGGCCTAGGCAGTTTGTAACTACATCACCTGTTCCATAAAGAGAAGACTTATTGATAACCATGACGGACCAGGTAAGGCGAAGCCTGCTTTCCCACCTTCCCCAACTCGTGCGCTCTGCACAATAGCCTAGACTACACGCGCACACACCAGGTAGGCTACAGAACCCCCCCCCCACACACACACACACAGACACACACGCTCTAATGTGTATTTTAGAAAATAACACGAGATCTAATCCTTGTTTTTTTTATGCAACACACTTTCTCCCCGTCACACTAACTCTGTATGTGGAAAGTCGGTTTGAAATTTGGAGCATTTCATACTCTCAGGATATGATTTAATGGATATTATTATAGAGACGTTCAGCGTGTCTGTGGTACTCAATAGGGACTTTATAGTATTTCTACGCTCCATATGCTCTGTATCTGTCTTTATCTTATGGTATGGCATTTAATCACAAACTGAATTATAATTAACCGTACACCAAACGTGGTTCGGAAGAATCGACCTCCACCAGACATCTGGGCTGCAGCTGGAAAAGAAGCAGCCGACAGCGTAATTGGGCTGTGACGACGGGAGGATGAAAACATTGCCCGTAGTATTCATTTTGTATTGTGCACTGTTTGTTGTTTGACCTAGTTTCTCGACAGCCTGGCTAGAGAAGGAGATTAACCCTTGACACGCTGGCTCAGCCCGCGGTCAGAGTTTTCCTGTGCTGTGCATGCGCGCGTGGCTCCCCTGAGCACCGCTGACGATAAAGACCGTGCTTAATTGATTAGTGCGTTCAATTAGCCTAATTGAGCTACCCGAGTGAACCTGTGTGAGTGATGTATGGGCGTGTGTTTGAGGGTGTGTGAGTAAGCGCGTTACTGGTAGCCACACCTCAACTGCATGTACGACAAATTCATTATTATTCTATACCGTACTGAAACTATACTATACTATACTACTCTATATTATACATATACTTTACTATACTATACTATACCATCATATATACTACACTATACTACAGCCTTCTATTCTACTGTATTATACTAACAATACATTACACAACACCATACTATATTGCAGGGCATCTCTTACACAACATTGTCTACTAAACTACACTACACTTAAATCAGCCAAATAGAAGAACTACAAACTCAATGTGTTTATTGAACACAGTTGTGGTTTAATAGCGGATGTTACTCTTCTCCTTCCAAAATGAGTGCCTTAGTATATATTTTCAATGAATTCTCTTGCACATAAATAACCTCATTATTGCTGATTAGAAAAACAAACATTTATGAAAAGTACGACTACATTACACTATACTATATAGCAGTATACCATACTAAACTATACTTCACGATACAGTACAATACTACACTGCATTACACTATATTGTACCATGTCCCCACATTCTATACAACATATAAGCTACAATTGTACACAACTACAATACTTCATTAAATACTATACTTCATTACACAATACTTTACGATACTAAACTACACTTTACTCCACTATATTATACTGCATTGTACTGTACTGTACTACACAGATGTAGTGTACAATTATTCTACTACTATTTAAAGTATGTTGAAAATTCTAATGCAATTCATACAGTCTACGTACAGTGACGTTTATAATCTCTAGTTAATGTTGACACTGTGTCAGAGAGACGTGTTCATTCAGGTTATTGTTATTTGCCAGACTTTCCTCTATTGTTGTGCTGAATTGGTTTGCATTATACTCTAACGTGCTCCTGTTATTGTGTCAATACCGTTTAATTAAGTGCCAATACAGTACTTATCTTTGCCAAAGGCAGACGCTGGGCCGTGGAAGTCCAGGGGCGCTGGAGCTCGATTAATTGCTGTATTAATATTGATGAGGGTTGTCTTATGGTTGACCTGCTGTGGCTACAAACACACACTATTATGCACATGCACGTGCATACTTTTCTCAGCCAAACTATTGTTCCAGAGAGAAGGGCTGACAGCTTCCCCTTTTTTTATTTTTTATTTTTAAAAATGACTAAGGATGAAGATCAAGACTTTATGTTTCTGACCCATTTCTGTGTGAATTAATGCGGAGGACCTGGCAGCACTTACGCCCTCATTATACACAGCTACAGCCTCTTGTCCTCCATCATTTCTTTATTAAGTACCTCTTCCCCTTCCTCTCCTTCCCCTCTCTCTCTGTGTCCTTTTCAACCTGCTGTCTTTTAGCATCTTCTTATCTTCTGTCAGTCTTTCAGCAGCTCGTCCTGCCACCCCCCCCCACACACACACACACACACACCTCCCACCCGTCTCCCTCCTCCTCGTGTAGGTTCCCTTTGACTCACCTCCACTGTTATCACCTCCATCCTCTTTACACACATAGGCAACAAACAGGGGAAACACCCTTCCCCCATTCTTCAGTGATAACATTTACCAGAATAGACGCTTACTGCTCATGTAAATCTGTAGCATGTGTGCACCTCATGGACTGTTTGTAAGAACTGTCCTAGACTTACACACCTGTGTTTTGGTTTTCTCTCTCAATGTAATTCTAGTACCGTATGTTTCTCACCACGGCGGCCCCCCTCCGGCGTGGAAGCACACCCCTGCCTCTCAAGCACCAGCTGCGGAGGGAAGAGGCCGTATCTGAGGACTGTGATTGGATCCCGGGCATTGAGGAGCCTATCGGTGACACGGGGGTGACTCGGGATGATTCTGTCGGCCAATTGGCAGCCGCCCAGTTGGCTTACCACAGCCACGGCGGGGCATTGAAGATAGTGCTACTGGGACAGAACGGCGTGGGCAAGTCGTCGCTAGCCTTGTCTCTGGCCGGGCAATCGGACAGATCCCTCTCTATAGACTCTGAGACATGTGGTAAGCATGTGGTAAAGACTTGGATAGAGATTGTGTGTGTGTGTGTGTGTGTGTGTGTGTGTGTGTGTGTGTGTGTGT